AGGGAAAGCCAGACATACAGAGAGTTTTTTTAAGTAATATAAAAAAAACCTTTAATTTTTTCTTCAATAGCATAACGTTTCAGTTTTTATGGATAATACAGGCCAGACTGAACAAGCCGAGAAAATATAAAAGAACGAGCGAGCGCGCGAGCCCCTGAAAGAGTGGGGTTCGGGTGGAGGGGGAGAGAGAGAAAAGAGAGAGAGAGAGAAAGACAGAGAGAGAGAGAGAGAGAGAGAGAGAGAGAGAGAGAGAGAGAGAGAGAGAGAGAGAAAGAAAGAGAGAGAGAAAGAAAGAGAGAGAGAGAGAGAGAGAGAGAGAGAAAGAAAGAAAGAAAGAAAGAGAGAGAGAGAGAGAGAGAGAGAGAGAGAGAGAGAGAGAAAGAAAGAAAGAAAGAGAGAGAGAGAGAGAGAGAGAGAGAGAGAGAGAGAGGGGGGGGGGACATACTTGTCCTTCAACCACCCGCAGGAGTAAAATACTACAGAATCTCCACCAATCACCCTTTGACAAACAGAAATAGACTGAAGGGAAGCTATAAGAGGACCTACCACTATTGCCAGCGTGCCAGCGGTATCCTCCAAGCACTCGATCTAAGAATCCCGTAGATCCAAACTTAATCATCCGGCTCCATTAAAGGCTCGCCATCACCTGGAAATGGGGCGCAGGGCGCCAGCGGTGGTAGGTACGAAATCAGGACAGATAATAAATACCAAGAATCACTGGGGAGTTTGTTGGGCCAATGTCGAAGCCAGAGGGTCAGGGGGCCAATAATAATGTTATCACAGGCAGCCAGCCTGCCACAACACGGGCTCGGTCACGGATGGGGTACAGCGCGAGGACACCGTGGGCTCAGAGTCAAAACGTTCTATATCAAAGGGATATTGCATTGCAGATAGTATCTTGCGACTTTGAACTTCCGACTAGAGGCCCAAAAAGATTGGGTGGGGGAGGGGGTGGCAGTGAGAAGAGGAATTTAGAACGACGAAGAGAGGAGGAGAGTGAGATACGGAGAGAGAGGAGGAAAGAGAGAAAGGGGCGCAACATGATTGAAGAAGAGGGAGATAGAGAGGAGGAGGAGGAGAGAGAGAGAGAGAGAGAGAGAGAGAGAGAGAGAGAGAGAGAGAGAGAGAGGGGGGGGGGGGATGATGACGTTACACAGAGTAGCAGTGGGGAATGTCGCGTGGCCTCCGTAAGGTCGCCGCTGTTTGGCTATTCCCAGCCGGCCGTGGGCGCCGCTGTGGCCTGCTGGCCGATCTGCCGCTTGTAGTTAGAACGAAACCGTGAAGAACAACAACACAGCTCGGTATTAGACCGGCTTCGCCCGTGAGAGCCAGTCCAGGATCAACACAGTCGCCAGGGGCTTGCGGTGGATAGGGGAAAGAGGAAGAGGAAAATCCGGAACGGAGAGAGAAAACAGGAAAACAAAGGCAGTTCGAGGGCAGATTGGTGGAAGCCACTGAACTTTTAATTACCCCGAAGCCTGACTAGAACTAACAGTAAAAAGACATCAAAGGGGACGGTTACGGAAGGCGGAGTTCCGACTCCACAGCACTATAGCAAAAGACCACGCAACAATGACCTAGTTGGGATTAAGGACAAAAACAACACCACATGTTAATGGTCATTTATAGCAGGACAATGGCAAGACTTGCAGGGTCGAAATAATTATTATTTTTAATGCAGAGCAGCACATCGATACAATGATAGCCATTTGTTTCTTTTTATTTTAGAAAGGTTTAACGGCGCTCGCAACTGCATAAGGTCATACTATGAGCGTCAAGGGGTGGATATCAACAGAGAAGTCCAAAAGGGGAATCAGGCTTACTCTGTTCACCTCTCTAGCCTCAGTCTGCGTCGACTATCAAGACACCCCGGAAATAGCAGTTCACACGAAAGTGACAAACATACAAAAGAAGAAGAGGAAAATGACGATAACAAGGATAAGGAAAGAAAAAGCAACAGTTCCCCCTATGTTGTTCCCGCACAGTATGAGCATGACATTGATAAATCAGCCCATTTACAAGTCTGCTGTGCATAAGAACATGTTAATATCCCCCCTTTGGGAATAGCCTAAAGATACTTCAGTCAGTAGCACTGCCCTGGTTGGGGGCGGGGGTGTATGATATAGTATATATAGCCATTTAGTCATGGGGAAAAAATCAGTTGATAAAAACAACGGGGGG